ATAGGAGATGGTTACAAGCCCACGCTTTTGACCCTCGAACTTGTAGTCTAGACTGGTGCCGAGAATTATTTTTTTCCTACCCTGTGTTCTCGCGTATTCACGGTAGGGAGAAAGACAATGATCGGCTGTATGCAAATTTCAACATGTTACCGGGACAGACGTCTACATCCATTTTCGTGCCGAATTTGAATTCGTTTGCAGACCCGATTTTTCTGTTGTATTATTGCTCGTGGCCTAGGATCATATAATCTAAGTATTGGATTTTGGATGAGGCCTCCAGCTCCGGCCTGTGGTCCCACCCATACTTTCCTTGTCCCGTCTTCTTCGCGGATGCAGGGAACAAATTACTACAAAAGCTATGTCACAAGCGGTATCGGAGATGATTACAAGCACACGCTTTTGACCCATCTTTTGCTTAAAATACCTTCTGTCTGATGGCAAGAGAATAATTCAAAACTTGAAGTACTTGTATTGGGATTGTGCTTACAGTGGGTGTCCTTCCAACGACATGAAATATGCGGCAAAGCATTTTTTCAAATCCCGCAACAGTTTCGTCGGGCGTCGCCAGTCTTTCACCACCCAGCCGAAACGAACGGGTAACTACGAGTCAGTAGTGGCCCAAGAAGCACATGCGACGAACCGCTGCGGTCCATCCCCACATCCCCACACGAAGGTCAGCTCGCAGAAGAAGTTATCATGGGTGTAGAAGACGAGTTTTGATGTTGCCTAATTTTGAAATCAAATGGAAGAGCACCAGAAGTTGCACAACAGGCACACCAGACCAGTAGGAAGGCAGAGCGAAAAACGGAAATCGTTGATTCTCGCACAGGGCGGCAGTAAAGGCTGCTCAAAACATGCATTTCACGCGTCTACCTCCAAACGCCCCCTTTGAAATCAAGATAAAAATATACGCGATTGATTCTAAATTCTAGTCAATAGAGCCAAAACGGAAGGCGCTCAACCAAGGTAAATTTTGAAGGTTAGATGTCGCATTCTATTGTCATTAGTAGAGGACATCATGAAGATGCATCGTGCGTGCTGGCATGTTCAGGGTTTGCTACTGGAGCTGAAATATCGAAGGTCGCAGCAGCCTCTGAAAACGGTCCGAAATCTGCGCCGGAATCAAGCGGCATCCAACATTTGTCACAGCCGTACTCGCCGCGACTGACTCCAATCCACTGAACTGCGGGTTTACAGCAGTAGCTGATGCCACTAGCTACTGCTGACGACCCATGGTTCAGGGGTTTTTACTGTCCGT